GAGTGCCGTCCGCTGCTGCTCGAGGCCCGCGCCTGCTTCATCCTGGGCCGCGAGGCCGGCGCGCTGCGGGCCCGGCCGCGGAGGTACTGCAGCCGCCCGTTGCCTCCAGCCCCCTGCTCTTCCCTCCATCCGCAACCACTCACTCATTCATCATCCTTTCACTTAGGCTGCTTCTTGAAAGAGGCTCATTCCTTTAACAATTCCCGGGCGTGGTGCCGGGAATTCTGCCCTCGGAGGGGTAACCTCCCGTGGGGGAGATGTAGAGATCCCACACCTGGCGCACATTTTTCTCTCGTCCATCCTCCAAGAGCTTACTCATGCACGTTTTGTGCTGGTTCCTGGGACTTGGAAGTGGTTTGGAAATGCCCTTTGTCTCCGGGTACTCATAGACTAGTCAGGGATAGAAATGGGGAAGGGCATGGAGGGAAAAAGTGAAAGAGGCTTATTCCCATCCCTGGAGTGCCCAACCGGGACACTCTGGGTGTAGTCCACCGTGATCTGTCATCCACCATGGACAAATCAGGGCCACACTATCTTACCAATGAGTCTGTAACGCCAATCACAGGGCCAGGACGAAGGGGTTCGGTATTGGTCAAAGGAATTGGAAAATCAGTGGCTAAAGGATGTGGGGGTTCTGGTGGGGTCAGAAGTTGGAGGTGTCTGGGAGGAAGACAGCTTTGCTGAAAGGATGAGTAATCTGAACGAATGGAATTAGTGATTAGGGGGTCGCTTTAGGAGATGATTATGGGAGGAGGAAGGGAGCAGAACTGGGATGGGAGACTGAGGTTAGAAGAGGGGATCCGCTGAGGTGGCACCGGTGCTCCCCCTAAAGATTGGGCACAGTGGCAGGTGCCTGTAATCCCAGCTCTCAGGAGTCTGAATGAGGAGGATGGGGGCTCTAGGCCGGCCTGAGCAACATGTAAAGACCCTGTCTATAAAAGCCAGGTGTGATCGGCACACCTGTAGTCCCTGCTGGGAGGCTCGGCAGGAGAAGAGAATGTGTCAGACAAACCCTGGCTTAAGCTGGGGTTTCTTAAGTTTTCTTCTCTGAGAAAGGAATAACTATCCTATAAGGATTAAAGGAGGTGATTTTTCCAAGAAAGGGTAAGGATTCTAACTTAGAGGTCAGAGGAATGGGTTAATTAGTGACCCTATCCCTATCAGTTGTTGGAGGGAAGGTTTTAAGTGGCAGAGGGCAGCAGGGACCAGGACCAAAAGGCATGGAAGGGCAGCAGGACCGTTGTGGGGTCAGGAAGGTGACAGCTACAGTTTGGGCATTGTGATTATTCTCGCGCCAGATTCATGGACCAAGCTGAAGTGATCGTGGTCATCGGCGGTTGCGATCGCAAGGGTCTCCTGAAGCTGCCCTTCGCCGACGCCTACCATCCAGAGAGCCGGCGCTGGACCCCACTGCCCAGCCTGCCGGGCTACATGCGCTCAGAGTTCGCCGCTTGCGCCCTCCGCAATGACATCTATGTCTCTGGTGAGGGCGGGCCGCCGTAGGAGCCTCACCGGACTGGCTCCCCCCCCCCCCCCCCC